TTCCTTGACTTCAGCAAAACCAAGATTTCACCCTATACATCTAAATTAACCCAAAAAATATATGGAGCTCTGTGCTATAAGCACTTTAAAAGAAACCTCCAAAACACTGTAGTAGAATGGCTTGTCTGAAAACATTTGTATGCATTTTAGTTAAGTAGCTCCTAGAGTCCTTATCACCCTATTTATGCTGCCCGTAGACACAGCTGTTTCCAGAATTAGTTCTTGAGCATTTATTTGAATACTAATTTATTATTTTCAATAAGAAGAAGACTGCACGGGACATTTATGATGGATGGACACAATCTGAGATTAAAATTAGGCTCTTCAGTGGGTACAGTGCAGACGGGGAGAGGCAGAAAATACGTATTCATCACTAGGCTAAGGCTTTAATCAGTAGACAATATTGTTGGTTTTGCCGCATATTTCATATAACACTTGAAAAAGAGAACAAAAAGAGAACAAAAATAGTTGATGAATATCAGATTTATACTCGTCCTTACTTATTTTTCTTTGGAACCGCTAAATATACTCTAAGGTTCATTTTTGAGACCAGATGCAGTAGGTTATGTAAAACTATCTTGAATCAGAGAGAGCTGCAGAACCTGAGTAAGCGTATCAGAATCTGGCCCATTGTAAGCAATGTTTGATAAATCTCCAAATCTTTCTATACAGCCATCTCAGTAGCCAGATGTTGATTGTGTACACATTGTTTTGTGTTGCTTGCATAAACATTATAATCACATATAGACAACAGCAGAGCTACAATATTTAGAAAACATTTTTCACACCTCCTTATTAAGCAAGACTATGAAAATTATGACTCATCACTGCACCATTGTTTTTGCCTGTTTTCTTGTGCTGGTTGAATAGTCATAGACAGCTGGTATTAATACAATAGGTAGTGCTTAGGGAATTAATGGGTGATGTATAATACACCACAAAGGTATCTGTCATCTGAAACAATAAGCACAATGATGTAAGATGTATATATTTGAAAATTGTGCTCAGAGGAAATTTTCTCGAGCACAAAGACATACCTTGACTGCGATGCAAAATTAGTTTTTAACAATTGCGAGAAGTCTGCCAAAAACTGCTTTTATTTTATTTGTGATCCTGAGAGCATTTAAGCTACTAGAAGCAGCATATACGTGCTCCTTTTCTCTTTGCTCCTATCAAAACAACACTAGAACGCTTATGCTCCAGGGAGATTTGTATAGAATCTGACGCTTGTATCAGCTCTGAAAAAAACAACAAAATTACAGTCTGAGGTGATGCAAATGATATCCTTGGTGCATCTTCCCCATGCTCCTGTGAGGCTCTTGACAGCTGATGGTTGGATTAAACAAAAAGACCAGTAACTTATGACTATTAGCTCAAAGCAATCATCTCTCATTATTTCAATTACATGGGTAAATGCATGCAATCATGTATCAAATCACTTTTCCCTTTTGAAGAGCTTCTTTTCAGGGTAGGATTTCTGCCAGAAAAAATGTGCAAATATTTACACTGGTTTTTCATCCAACTGCACCTTTGTTTGGCAAAACCACCCTATGGCTACAATTCTGAGTGATATTTTGAAAAAGGAAGAAGAAAAAAAAAAGGGGAGAATTGGAAATAGTGTACAGGTTTGGTGACTCATTAGCAGTCTGTAAAGCAGGCACCTTCCCTTACTTATTGCTACCTGACCTGTCAGTATGAATGTGGCTCCTATTCCCTAAATCACACTACCTGTGAATAGCGCTCTGCTGGCCAATTCAAGGCTCTTTAGGCAACTATGATTGATGACTCAGTGACTAGGAGAAAATTGCCTTCAATGAATTATTCATCGAGCTATCTCTTTGCTGCTAAAGTAGCTGACAGGAAAGTTCTGACACTGCCTAAGCACAATTCACTTACAAATCAGTTACAAGGAAATATTAAAAATAGCTCAGTTACAGCATACCAGCACAGTATCAAGTGGGGGCTTTTTGCTGTCTACATTTAACATCACAGCGAACATGATCACTTCTTCCCATATAACTATTGTACTAATGGCAAAAAAAGCAGTGATTAAATTGAAAGCAATGCCATTTGTGTTGGCTATGGAACAATGCACTGTGTTTAGTGAGACAGATCACTAAATTTAAGGTAGACGGCAAATTAGACGTGCAGAAATATTTAATCATTTTCTTATTAATGTAAACAAATGCTAATTATTTGTTTAGAACTCTTGCATTATTACACAAGAAGCCATGAGAAAGAAAAGAAGCCATGAAAGAAGTGGATTACTAGTCATATCTAGAATTAATTCTCTTTCCTCTATAATGATGCTTTCTGGAAAATGCCATTTGAGAAGCTCCACAAAGGTTTAAAAATGCTTTGGTTTAGAAGACTTAGCACAGAAATGGAACAATATTAGCACTTTGCCTAGTATCTCTAAAAGTGTGTAATTTTCCTTGTTATGGGGAATTATTTACTTTTTGCTATAATCAGTTTCCAGAGATACACTGTATCAAAAAGGACAAGGTTTAATTTTAATACACTCTTCAATATTTCTGTTTAGCTTATGACTGCTGGCAAAATATTCTGGTATGCATGACTAGAAGTCATGGCTTGATGGAAGTTGTACTGTTTGTAAATATTATAAAACAAATAGAGTAATTGCTTTTATTATATAGCAGTTTATTCAAAGCTGCTATTTCTTTAGCAGATTTTTCTGTGTGGCTTTCACAATGACTGAGTGCAATATGCATAGGTATAATTATTTTGTGTTACTATTTTACATATACATTAAGCGTGTGAAATCAGTTGGTCCAATGATCTCAGAGAATATTTTTTGGTTCAGAAGGGGAGCAGATTAGGCCTAGACCTGCTATGCAATCAATATCAGGATCTATTTTATGATACATTTTATTTGATACAGCAAACCTATTATGAAAACAGCCTTTTTACTGAGGCTTTTTTATACAAAAAAAATATTTCTTGGTTTATGCAGCTTAGGTAATTTGTTAGTTACAAAATACAGTGCCTACAGAAGCATGTTGGTCTTCACTATGCCTGAGACTATCAAATGTATTGGGTAAAAGAAATAAAAACATGCAAATAATATAATTTTGGTTTGAGGCATCTCAAACTGGCAACATAAGGAATGGAATCCATTTATGGTAGTCATTCTTATAAGACCCCATCTGCATAAGCAAATATATAAAGACATTAAAAAATTATGATTTTCCCTATTTAAGAAGCATCAAACAAACTAAAACATTTCAGTAAGAGAAATCATTTACCATCTCCATCATCAGGCATTCCACCACAAAACACTTTCTGATGCATCTTATGCAGTTCACTTTGATGTCAACAAGCTTATTGTTATTAGCAATTTTCCAGCAAGACATAGATTTCTGCTGCATTTGGAAAAACAAACATTTATTTGTCTTACAGCTGTTCCTATGATATTCATCATCACCCTACCTTAGTATTACACGGCCACAACTGAATCCACTCTTTTCATGGTTTTCTTGAGGTATTATGTTCTCTTTTAACAGAAATAAAACTAAAAGCACAGATCTGCAAGCAGCTTTGTGAGTATCTTTACCAGGAGTGGTAGTTCCATTGAGCATATTTAATTTGTTAGGAATGCTGTTGTGGAGGAAGCATATATAAAAGATTAGCATATTGTTAGTTTAGTTCAAAGCTCCTTAAATTGAGTTATGGATGCCGGGTTTTTTGTGACGTTTCTTTAATACCTTGCTGAAATTCAAAACCTAAACCCTATCAAAATTACATTTATTCTAGTTCAACATCTTAAGTTTTTATGATATGCATATAGTATTTTTCAGTTTACACAATGTTGATAATCAACAAGTATATTTCTTCCAGAAACAGTGATGGTTCTGGCCTCTACCATGCCAGAAAATGTCAAAAATATTTGATGAAAGTATTAGAAGCCCACAAATAAGACTAATTTTATTTTCAGACATCTTGAACTAAACATTCTAAAATAGAATTGTGCTTGTGCCAGGAAACTACATTTCTAGAGAAAGCACTTATCATAGCAATCGTCTGATGAAGATTACTTAAAAATGGGTGCCAAACTAATAAGTAAACCCGTATTATATTACTATTCCATAGGTATTTGTTGGTTTTGCAGTTTAGAACCATGAAAGGCTTTTTTGACATTCAGTTATTGTCTTCCAGGTAAGCTTGTTCATGGACAATCATGAAAATGTTTGAAAACCAAATGAATACTGTATTTGTAAAGGTTATAATTGAATTACATATTTTTGGTGTTTTCTCCCTATTATAGGAGTTTGTGTGACCTTAATTGACTAAAATAACAATTTTTCTTTAAGAGTCAAAACCCTTGGAGCTTTTAAGGAGTTCTGCTGTATCCTGAAGCACTTTTAGCTTCGTATTTACACTATTCCGAGCTCTGTTGTCCAAGAAGTAGAAATTATATTGGTGCAAATGTGGTAAAATAGCAATCCAATTAGCACTATACTCATTTTAACACATATGCAATATGTAACAAAAATCTAAAAGTTGTTTGTAACTGTGAAAAACCTTCTTGGTACTCAGTACTTCCTAGTGTAAGCTTTTTTCAGGACAATTAACCTTAGCATATAGAGCAGCAGCTCTGAAAATAAATACACTGGAAAACACAGAAGAAAGACATCATGGTTAATGCAAATTAATGTAATCATAGATTCAGAAAAAATAAACTATTCCAGTGCCACAGTTTATTTAGTTTTGTGACTTGACAATCCTAACCTTTCTTTCTATTCTGGTGATTCATATTTATAATCTCCTTTGTTGTGAAATGATTTTACCAAAATATATTTATATTATTCCATCTTTTTTCCATTTTTGATTGATTCCTGAAGCAAAAAAGCCCCAAACAAAATCAAGAATGGATCTATTTCACAATTATGCTTGCTCAATGCACTATGATTTTTTTATTGTGACTGAAGTCTTTTTCCAAGGATCTGTGTGCTACAGACAGATTTTTTTTTTTTTACCAGAGCAAATTCAAGTGCAGCTTTAGCCTTTCGTACTCAGTCTCCATCGACCTGTCAGAGACATCACAGTGATTGACTGCCCTGGCAGATGTGCCGCTATAACAGGTAACTTGATCATCCAGACCCATCTGTCTCTCAGTCCTCTTCAATTCACACTTTCAAAATTATTAGAGATTAGGGAGGGGTCGGATTCTTTGTTGTGATTTTTTTTTAATGTAGGATATCTGTATTTCACAAAAGGTTACCCTCGGTAAATGAATGGTGATGTACAGTACTTGAGCCATATCCTACTAAGAGGAGCTTGCTAGCATTGTTCAGTGTCAGTGTTTCAGATCTGGGTTAACAATATCCAGAGAATTTAAAAACTTGCTTGTATGATGTCTAAAATTAAGGATAGTTTTTTAGAACCACAGTGGTAATAATAGAATGATGTTTCAAAGATATCAGTTCCAATGTGAGACAGATGGGCTGTTTAACTGCGCTTAGTGAGAGGAGAGGATCTGATTCAGTGGGAGTATTTTCACGTCTTCTCTTCAGTGCCCACAGCCTAGCAAATGTTGTGACATCATTAAGCTGAACTGCTGATTTTAGATGGGTCTGGAACAAGAACGGGCAGGGGTAACTCAAGCTTCCTGCTGAAATGTAGTTAACTAATTTACTCGTGTCACTATTTCTGATAATTACTTTTCACCAAAATATTTTGCTGTGCTTGTGTGTAGAGGATTTCATTCCACAAGTCAACACCCTAAGTGTTGTAGCCTCACAGGATCTATCAACAGCTTCTATTAAGAGAGAATATAATCTTGGTGAGAGCAGTGGCTAACACTTCTCTTTTCTATTTCTCAGTAAAGTCTACTGCATACTCACTATCAAGGGATGTACATTGGCACAGATGACATAGTTCACAATATAAGGGGAAGTAACATACTGAAGCAAGCAAAACAAGGTAAAATGAATGACAACTGACAAAAAAGCAAGTGAACTCAAAATATTTTTTTTCAAATGAGAGGAATAAAAATATGTTAAGTGTGTACATAAGCAATGACACATGCAGAATAAAAAGAGATAAATAGTGGGGGGAGGGGTAGAGGACTGAGGAATATGTTAAACCAGAAAAGACCTCTCAGGTGCATATTGGCAAAGCTATTGGAATGTACTAGAAACAGAGGTGATGTTGGGAGCCACAGCAGAAGTAAAGCTTCATTCCTTCCTGAAAATTATGCTTAACATCCTGGACCTACGACTTTAGCAAGATCTAAGACACTCAGCCTGTGCTTGTCATTTCATTAATAAATTTCAATGACTAAATGAGACCAATAGGGTTTTATGAAGGAATCTGTAATTATGATCTAATTGTTTTGATTTTTGGAAAGGGAAAAAAACAGAAAAATATTCACTCTTACTATGTTACATGATACATGTGGATGGTTTCTGGTGTACAGTCCTTTGTTCCAAAGCCAGCAAACCAGGTAGCATGACAGTCATCACCTTGTCATGATTCATGGAACAGAACTCTGGAGCAATCCAACACACAGCTGAATACAGACAGCTGAGCATTGGCACAGGCAAGGGAAAGGTGTAAAGGACTCACAGGAGATTATTCTGTGGTTTAACCAGTTTTCTGATTTTCAAATGCACACCTGTGCAAGAATGGCACAACCTGTTCTAAATGGAATTACAGCTTTAGAGTGGGAAACAAAAATGCCAAACTCACCTCTTGGGTATTAAGTGTGGAAATCAGGTGAAGATTTGCAGAAATGAGTTTTGAGTAGAGAAAAGCGCTGTGGATGCTTTGTGACATAGTTGCCTGGCCGTGTCTCTGCATGGTTACAAGCCAAAGTAGGCTTCTTCCAAGAAAGCTGCTGCTTTATTTAATGTACCTCTTAAGAATTTCTGGGTAAGTAATATTGATACTGCATTGATGTGTTACAGCCATCTTCTATGTCACTCTTGAATATTACTTTAAGTAGATTTTAGGTAACTTATTAAATGGGTTCTTTGTGCAATGATCTTTAAATAATAGGCATGGAAATTCTAAAAAGTAAACCTACCCTTATTTATTGACATATTGAGTGAAATGTACTTTCTTCTTCTGAATGATTTTTTTTTTCTCAGCTGGCAAGAAAGTTGTCTAGAGACTTAACTTTGGGACCCCATGGCAATCATCATTCTTGAAATAGGTTAAAAGTCACATTCAAATAAAATTCATTTATAACCAGATATTGACTCAGAAAATTCAGAACTTGACCTGAGTTTTTATGATCCCCTCCCAACTTAACAGTGAACATGTTTAAATATTCATATGTACTATGGAAAATATATGTTGATATGTAGTCTTTTTAGAGTGCTGAGAAATTATTGAGATACTTGTGCAGGTAAGATGTCCTATAATAATGTGCCTATGACTGTTCAAAAAACATTACATCTGTAAGAATATTTCATAGTCACAAAATCTAATCAAATGATAATGAACTGCACTTAAGTCTACTTTACATTACTATAGAAAGTATCTGTCCCAGTGTACTTTCACTGCTAGGTGCCAGTCTTTCAAATGGAATAATCTAGTTTATCCATTTGGCCCAGTGAGATGCAGACTCACAGAACTGTCTTTCAGGATTCAAAGAGTAAAAACATGTCTCTAGAAATGCTGTTCTGCATATGATAAACCCCAAGATAATAGACCTGGAAAAAACAGTAGAGTGGTCTTGAATAATACAAGAGTGGAAGTACATGCATTTAGATAATAGAACTAAAGATGTGATTTGTGGTAAGACAATCTGAAGATTTCCTCGGTCAGCTCTTTGATAAATCTGCATTTGGTACAAAGGAGAAAATTCATTCTTTAGCACTGTGATTTAGTCTTCTGTCTTAGTCTAGCATAACCAATAACATCGGTTCTATGTTCTTTTAGGGCAGATACCAAAAGATATGTGGGAGTTGACAATGCAAAGCTAAGAATGAATTTTGGACCAACTCATTTCACTACTGTAGGGCACTCATATATCAATTAAGGGAAAATTGTCTAAGCAGATTGAAAGCATCAGTCTCCTTTAAAATTTCATTTGAAATGTTTTCAGAATAAATTAAGCTTTTTCTTTGTTCCATTTTTGTGTGCTCCAGAATACGCAACATGTATGTAAACTAGCAATAATTTTTTACTGTATTGTGACTATTTTATGGGTTTTTTTCCTGCTTATGTTTTCCCTTGCAGTTTTAATAATTCCCAAAGTAAACACACCTAGGCTGAAGTTCTTCTATGGTAGCATAGATTTAACTGCAAATACATAAGGAGGACTTGAATCAAGGGATTAGAACTCACAAGTTAGCAGTCCAACAGCTTGCTTAGTACTGTTTTCTTATGGTTTTCTCTTCTCAAAGCTTCAGTGGAAAGGATAGAAAGTGACACTCCTACACTTAAGCCATTCTGTAGGCCATCTCCTTGAAATAAAAAGGAAATGTAGGATTAGTCACCCATAGGCAATGGAGGAAAAGGAATCTCTTGCTTGTGTTCCACAGGAATGGCAATTATATAAGAGGAGCACCATTTTGTCTTTTAGAAGACTGTAGCATATGCATTGCACTTTGTGAGGATTACAGTTTTTGGTGCACGTGACAAGACTTGGAGAACTAGCTATTGAATAACTTTCAGGCACTTGGGTGAAGGAATACCTGATTTATACACCCACTTTCATTTTGGTGGAAGTCAGATGCTATCCTCACAAAAATATTAATCCATACCTAGACAGGTATGAATAAATACCTCAAAAACTTTGAAGGTAAAATATGAAGAATCCTCCAGAGGTCAGAACAAATAAATAAATTTAGTTGTAGGCACTTGCAAGTAAAAATCCCTTCTTCACATAAGAACTTGCTAATTTTGCATCTGGCCCTACTGTCACTACAGGAGATGCCCTCTACATAATATTAGGTTTCCATACCTAGCAATGGCATACACCATGACACATGAGGTAAGAAAGAACCTTAAAATAAACACTGGGTAAATGAAAAAGTGAAGGTGATCTTTGAATATTGCCTTTCCCTTTCACAGATCTCAGACTCTGCTAGCCCACAGTCAACATCCTCCCCTTTAGTACTCAGAGCTAAACCATTTCCCAGAGTTATGTCATGAAATCCTGTGTTTAACAGAGGAAAGGGGCATATTTTTCTTTCAAAATGGATCAAGGAGCTATCCATGTGTGTAGTCTTTTTGAATGTAGACCACTCATATAGGACATATATGTTCAGTTTTGTTTGTTTCAGTTTTTGAATGAAATAACTCAGCAGAATGTATTGATTTCTTTCTTTTCTTGTGGGAGGTTATAGGCACTTTGCATCAATACATCTGATTTTTGGAGTACATTTTCATTTTCTGTAAAATTTTTGTGTTAAAAGTATAATAAGTCTTAAATTGGAGATCAAAACAAAAATGTAAATAAATATAGACATCAGTTACCTGAAGGGGAGGCCACTTGCCTATGATAAATAAATTTAGTTTGCCTTTGCCATCAGGCACTTTTAATGATTTCCCTTTTTTTTTTTATGTACTCAAAAGCACAAGCTTTTTGAGAGCTTTGCTACCAAAATTTTTGATACATTTCAGGTGCCCATAGACTGCTCTAAAATGGGAATTTTTGAAAAACTCAAGTTTGTAAACTTTAGTCACACTCCTCTTATCTGAACTTCCATTCTATTGTACAGACACTTCTAGATTATAAAGGTAGTCCAAAAAAATAACAACAATAAGCCAAATCAACAACACAACCAGCTTTCTATTTATCAAGTTATACTTAGGTTTTTTTTCCAAAAGACCTCTTCTGAAGAATGTTTGGCTCCTTCAAACTGTGTTTTCTTCTGTTTTCTGAAAGATAGCTATAGGTCTATGCATATTTTATCTCTGCCCTTTTACTGCTATTTCTAGCTAATTATACCAATACAAGAAGCCTAAAGTAAGTACGATTTTAGCAGTTTATTATATGAAAAATATCTTGTCCTTAGTGTATACTAACAAGATTTGTTCATGCAATTATTATTAGCAAGGACTCCACCTACTGGTTCAAATTATGCCAGGCAAGTAATCACAAAAGTAGTTCATGTTCAAGGAAGAG